GTCCCGTATGAATATCTCGTATTCTCACACATACTGATGTTTTGTCGCCTTGACTTTGGAGAACGGGATCCATCGCTTTCCGACCTCGGCCATGAGAGGATGACGTTGGCACTCGAGGCCGGAGACGTTCGAGCAACCGAGCCCGACTCAAAGCTCAAGGGATGAGATCAGTGACATCAGGCTACCCAACGGCAGATACTTGTCAGGCCTCATTAATAGGGCGCCGAATCCTCCCCCCATCGACAGATCAGGCTTGTCCGTTAGTCGGGTTGTCGTCCGAGCAGCAACTCCGTTGTACCGGGGTTGACGTCGGCACCGCAGTCCAGTCAGGCAGTCGGACAGAGAGACAGACGGACAGACAGTCAGTCGGAGAGTGACCCATGCTCCATCACCTTTCTTTCTTTCTCGCGAACGCGAACGCGAAACTTCAGGGGCGTAGAAAGTACAAACAAAAGCTAGCCTGGGCTCGCCGTGGACGCAAGCGCAGCCCCTCGCGCTTGACGTGGAGGCGTACAGCCCTGGTACGCTTCCGTCTTGTGCTGACCACGGATCGTCCCATCTGACGGCCCCTCCGTCTCGGGCGTAGAAGTCAACCACTGCTGGGACCAGTTGCCGCCGGCCTGGGGCTGGGGCTGGGTGAAGCACCCCACACGGCCCCCACCGTACCGGAGGCTCGATAACAAACTTGCCCCCCGGATTTAGAGGTTCTGTTTCCCGGGTAATTAGCCCCTCTCGGCGCTCGCCCGGCACCGATGGGACAAGCGAGGGACCTCCTGGTAATTTCTGCCTTTCTTCCTTCTTACCCGGTCGCACAGTAAAAACCAAGAGTTTCCGTCCTCTTTCCGGGAAAGAGAAAACAAGGAAGCCCTCCCCTCCCGGTTGGGCTAGACGTGTACCGGGCTCCGGTGTCCACATGGGGGTAACCCTGCACGACCAGTCATCCGGAGTAAACGTCGAATGGCAAGGCTGGGTAAGAGGAGCGGCCTCGTGGGCTTCACGTGTAAAGTCGCATTACCCAGCCAGGCAGTAAATTCTCCAACCCCCAACTTGGGCTTCCCGCTTGCTCCTCCTTCTGCTAGATTACGGCCGGCGCTTAGCAAGCCCGTACAACAAGCGCTAGGCAAGCCCCTTCTCTAAACTGCCAACTGGCTATGGTTCTGTAATCACGCGAGGAGCCGAGCCGAGTTGAGTTTTGAGCCGAGCCGAGTTTTGAGTGTTTTACGTCTATTACTGCGGGCCTTTCCCGGAGTGTGGCAATTGTTGAGTGCCAATTACCGATGCCTATCCCGAGAATTGGCCATGACCTCGAACCGCTAAAAAACTGCCGAGGATATGATGGCCATTATCAGGAACAGTGGTCGTCCGCAATATTTTCCAATTTTTTAATTTCCGGGATCGGGATTCTAATGCTCCTCATCACACCTTTGTGGATAGTTCTGCGGGAGATTTTTTTGATCAATCGACGATCTTTGTTTGCTTTGTGAATATCATCGAAACCGTATGAGAGAATCAAGAGAAATTATAGGCGGACGAGGATAATCACACGTAATGAGCGTCATCATTTTTCTCTAAGAGAGAGATTTTTGATTTTTAATCTCGAAGGGCGGAGTGAGGTATGGTTCTAGAACGATGAGTGATCCTCGTCGACGATGGAGGGTTCAAAGTACGCGAGATTCGGTCATTTGCCAAGAGAAACCGTCCACCGTGGTTCGAAACCCATGCGCCACAGTTGCAGGGCTCGCTCGTTTCTTTCCATTTGCACCTCGCAGTTCCTGAGACGTCTCACTCTTTGTCCCACTGCTAGAGAGTTGAGGGACCCACAAAAGCTTCCAGAATCATTTGCAATGACAAATTATGCATCAAAGGAGGAAGATCTACAAAATTGATATAGAATGTTCGAAATCACGATTTGGTCCCGAATTGATTGACTATACTGTACTGAGCTCTGGTCTTTCTTGAATAATCGCTCACCAGTTTGTGACGCATACTGTCAAGTTTGAAGACGTGCTAAGCATATGTAGTATTCTTCAAAGTGCACCTCACATGTGTATTGCACACATGCAAGAGCTATCGGTAGGAGACACTAGAGAGGACAATTCAAACCCTACATGGTACAAGAATCTCATCCATGTTGAATGTAGGAGCGATTCAGCTTGTTGCTTAACGACACTTTATGGGGTAGATGCATATTCTCGTACGTTGAATTGAAATGAGGAATTTTCTTTCGCTAAATAAATATATATTTAGATTTCATCACGAACTAGAAAGCCTTTCCAGTGCCTTCCCCCTTCCCGAAGCGAAGGCTTAGGCGGGTACCACAACATCTGCATTCATGAATAATTAATAATTTATTTCAAAAGCTTCTGTAAGACTCAATGAGAATTGTCACAAGATTTATGGAAATTCTTTAGTATCGATTTCTGGACATGTATTTCATGTCTCTTATTGTACATGTATTTTCGGGCATGGAGCCTGTATCATGGTATATTTCAAGCTAAGTTTCACAGAATGTCATGTTTTTGTAAGGACCTTCTCATGATCCCTGATTTGGACACGTAATGTTCACTCATCTGCCCCATAATCTAACTGGATTTAGCCTGCTTTTTTAAAAATAGAACTGGTTACGATAAAAGGATTCTGACTACTGAATTAACAAAACTGCATAAGTCAACAAAGAGGTCATGGTACAAAGATTTCCGAGTCACATTCAATCATATTCATTATAATCTCAGATGGTTGTGTATGTTGGATCCGGATGATTTATGCAATGTATTGGATTTATTGGGGTATAATGTGTAGGTAAGAAATGGTATCGAAGATTCTGAGGAGAGACAGCAGGTAGTGGATGAGTAAGAGATTAAGGAGGTGGGAAATATCACGCATACAAAATTCATCGGACAGTCTCACATATCTCGTAGATCAAGATGTTCCACAACGGGAGACACATATTCAAAAATCATGAAAATATAGCTGGTCAAATGACAATCGCACTCCATAGGAATATATAGCACAAACACAATTTTTCCTCGATCTTTGATTATTTGTATGAAAATATTTCATCAAATATAATAAATTATTAGAATCCAAGTTTTTTAAAATTTTATGATATTTCTTTACCAGTTTTAACTTTCAATCAACTCTGAAATGAAATGTAATTTGAATTTGAATGTTAGCAAATTTGAAAGACTGATGTTATTATCATCATCTAACAAAATAATCAATATACTATACAGAAGAAAAAAATATCAGACAGCAAATATAAACATCTCATTGGCAATTAAAACCTGGTCTCATAAACTGCAAGCTGCGAAGAGCTTTCCGGCGATCGGTTTACCGGGCCGACTGCAAGTAAGCAGATTGAATCGAAGGGTTTAATGCGAAGTCAATGAGAGAGAGAGAGAGAGAGAGGGAGAGAGAAGGAGGATGGAGAGAGACTTTTGAAGAGCATGATTGTGGCACAACAAAGATATGCTGCACAACAGTGACTCCGGACAGGGCACACCGTTGCACGGGATGGGTGCCAGCGGCCGGCAAGCGCAGATAATAATGAGCAGCAGCAATCAAAGAGGCAAAAAGTGTCCTTGCAAATTCCGACGATGGATCGGGTTCAGAGTCCAACCGCATGCAACTGCCAGTAGAGTGAGGACACCGTCAACACGACATCAACATCGACATCGTACTCCATTCTTCGAAGAGTGCAGTGCAACGAACAGTCTGCCACAAGGATTAGCCGGCACATGGGGGACTTCGTCCGAGCCGTTCACGTAGCTCGTAGAGTCGTCTGCGCACATGGGCGCGCCATGGTATGATTCAGAGCCGCTGCTCCCCTTCTTGGGAAGAAACTCGTCATCATGAGAATCTCGTAGCCTTCATCTCCCTACCTAGCTCCGCATTATACAGTACAGTACTGCGGTCCAATCAAGCCCTCGCTTCTGTCCTTACGCATGCTCCTCTACCCTTCCCCCCATCCCCCACTCCACTCCACTCCACTCCGCCCCACCCAACGCACTCAAGCAATGCCTCTCAGTAAACCTGTGCCACCTCTGGATCGCATGAATTTGGCCACAATGCTCACATTAAACGAGAAACCTGACAACGAAGAGAGAGATAGAGAGAGAGAGAGAGGGAGGGGGAGGGAGAGTGAGAGAGAGGGCGAGCGAGGAATTTTGTAATTTCTGTCGAGCACTCCTCGGACGAGGAGTAGGAGGCGGCTCAGAGCCTTCAATTCCATTGTCTTTTCCCCAGCCCACCCGCAAACGAACTCGCAGCCGGAATCCGGATGGCCGAGGCCCGAGGGGTCGGTCGGTCGGCTCAGGCTCATTCGGACTGGGCTCGGGAGGCTCATTGGACCGCGCGTGACGTTCAGCATGCTGTGTCCCCGTAGGGTGGTTGGGCTTGGGCTTGGGGCTGGGCGGGGGCTGGGGCTGGGGTTGGGGTTGGGTTGCACGAAAGTGCGAGCTGGATCAGCGGGGGGAGACACGGGCTTCTGTCACTACAGCGGGAGGGGGTGTTTTCGCACGGTGGGTGCTTTCTGCAGCTCGTCGATTGTCGGGCACCTGGCTCTCGGTGGCTCGTAAGGGCTATACAAGTTGTCGAGTGCCTAGTGCCCACTTGTCGTTCAGTAATTGCGTCCCGTGCAGTGGAGAGGCTGCTGACAGAACACTCCGCATTGCTGCTGCGGCCGATGCAGGAGTGTACTCGGACTCGCTCGGCCATTTGCTTCGACCTCAGTCAGTGCCATCACAAGGTACGGTAGCTTTATGTACACACTTCCCTAAAAGCGGAGCCACCGTTCCCATCAGCACCGTGAAGCGAGAGGAGCGATCACTGGTTGTCACCCAAGTTCCGGCAAGACTCATCAAAGCTCATAAGGGCATCGCCGCACTCCCCAAATTATCATCAACTATATGGCGACGAAGAAGATTTGCCGCTTTGCACGAGGATCCATCCGAGTCACCCGACCCGGACCTGGAAATGTGCCAAGCCAAGTGCACGAGACGGGGCTTGTCTCGGGCTCCTGTTGTTGTGGATGCTCACGAGCATATTATCAGCTCGTGAGCGAGCTGATATTATCATCCGCTTTTGCTTGAAGAAAAGTGGTATTTCGGAATCATGTCATGAGGCCGACAGATATCGGAGGCGTTTTCCTACAGCGTGCACCTCATGGTGTGCGAGAGTGCTCAGATCGCGTTGTGGGTGGGGTCACGTGATGAGGCATTTGCAGTGCAGTGACTGACTGCATCCTTTGGTCCCGAGGCTTTTCTGTTGTCAGTGCTGACCCGGGACGACCCCCAGTGTCTGCCTCCCCATCTCCACCCGATGTCGCAATTATATTCACGTTCGTGGTCAATTGAATTGAATGTGAGCTCCTTAAGCAAGTCATCTGAACCTTCATTTTCTTGGAGCGAGATTGTGGTAAAGCTCCAATGCTCTTCCAAACGAGTGTCACACAACGTGCTAGCTAGTAGTGAGGGGGCGCGACCAGCTGCAGATGAAGGATGGTGGTGAATCTGAGCCTGCATGGGGAGAGGCTGGGCGGCGTCTTCAGTCGACGAGTTGACACGGAAAAGGGAAATGCGAATGCGAAGCTCGCGTAGTGACTGCGTAAGCAGTGTGTCGGTCAGGAGCATGATGGCAATTCACGTGGAGTGGAGTGAGCAGCAATGCTATCGCGGATAGAGTGATTGCTCTGGAAAGAATATTTACGTCCGGCTCGACCCATGTCGCGTGCGACATTCCTGCAGATCCAGCAGGATTCCAGCTACGTCGATTCTCAGCAAGATAAGAGACGCACCATCAATCCACCGCCATGAGCCTTTGACGTCGAGCGCGTATGCAAGCAAGCAAGCAAGCGAGCAAGCGATCGAAGCCTCAGATATTTTCCGCAATTGATGTCCATCACGACGTCGTCCTCCGCATCGACGACCCCCGCTGGATGCCGTTCAGCGCAACAAAAACCTCCCCATCAAGCCCAATCCATGGACCATGCCCTCTTGCGCTTCAGGTCCTGCTCGACATCCTGCCAGCATCTGCACAGACCCAAATCCTGCTCCTGTCCACTGTGCGGCGGGAGGAGGATCTCAAACCCTCCTGCACACGGTCGAGCCTCGAGCCCCCCTCGAGCCCCCGAGCTGACTCAGCGACAATCGGTTCCCAAGGGCCAAACGGTCCAACGCCCAAAAGGCAATGCAAGCCCAAGGTATCGATGTCGGGGGACAACGGCTTCACGGACTCGCGCCAACCCCAACCCCAACCCCCGCTCCCTCCGTCCCTCCGGAGAATCTTTGCTGCCGGTCCCTGTCCCGGTAGGTCTGGGACGGATGCTGGCGGTCCGTCGCTGGATTCCATCGTGGCGGTCCTCCTTTTCGACTTGAGCGTCGACTGGGAGATGGATGGACGAAAGCTGCCAGGCAGCGGTTAACTCGCTGCCCTGCCCTGCCCTGTACCTCCGAGGGACAGGAAGGATCAAACGCTTAGGCTCTCACCGCGCGAACTACGATACACCTCGGGCTGCGGGGGTTGGGGGTAACATGTGAGCTAAGCGCGCGAGTGGCTAACAGAAAATCACATCTGCCGTCTGCTGACGGACGCCGGGTGACGAGTGCTGACGGGAGCGGTCGTACCGGCTCTAGGGGGGCTATATTCTGATCATTTTTCTGGAAAAGAGTGAAAGGGGACTACACGGACGCGGGACGTACAACAAAAGGGGGAGGTGGGGGGAGATGGAGATATCAGGGGACGGGGGCAGCGAGTCAAGAGGGCTCGAGACAGCAGGCGCAGCAAATCTGTGTTGGCGCGATCGATCGTTCATTCGTTCGTTCGATCGATCGATCGTTCGACTGGTCGGTTTGAAGGATAGGACGTGGAGTCCGGGGGGAGGTCATGCAGCCCGCGGGCGAATGAAATATCAAAGCGTCAACATGGCTGAGCTCGCCCTCGGAGCTCTGATGCAAGCGGCAGGTGTTCGCGTTTGTCTTGCATTGATGCGTGCCGCAAGCCCATAGCGAGAGTGAAGCGCATAAAAAATTGCCCATGGGAGACCGGCAGAGGATAGAGCCACTGTTGTAGATGTGGCGCGACACCGGCGATGGTGGAGCTTCACGTGGGGCGGTGCTTTAGATTTCGTTTGTTTAATGCTCGCAGAGATCCCCCCCCCCCCCCCCCCCCCCCCCCCAAGTCCACTGGTCAGACACCATCACTTTCTCCCCAGTTTCTTTCCCCATGTCCCCACTCTTTGTCTCCCCCCACCCCCCCGTCAAAGGGGCTCCCAACCCCAACCCCAACCCCTGAAAGGGGCCTGCGCACCCCCATCCCCACCCCCGCGCGCGCGCCTACCAGACAGAGAGGAGAGAGAGAGAGCAGGGGCGAGACGAAACTGTTGAGCGAGCCCCCGTTGAAGTCAGCCCCATCCCCAGCCCCTCGGGAGGGGTTGAGTGTTCGAGTCAGTGGGACTGTACGAGGCGGAGCTTATCGAACCATCAGCCCCGGGCCCAGCCCCAGAAGCAGGCAGCAGCAGCAGCAGAAGCACCTGCTGATCCTCCACCTCCCACAGTTCCACTGCATGAAGAGCTCGGTGGGCCCCAATCAATCTCCAACACCTCGTGAGCTCCCCTCTCTCTATCTCTCTCTATCTCTTTTGCTGTCACCCGATTTTAGATCTGAGCACAGTTTGAATTTAGAGAGCAGGGAGGGGTACAGTACAGCGTTGGAACAGCTTCCGAGCTCCGAGTGGATCCCGTTCAGGGACTCGAAGGAAGGAAGCAGCAGCCGAATCGGACGGAACACGTTCTCAAGGGTTCAGTACACTCCCGTCGGGATCATTTATCACCGGCAGACTCCTGCCTGCCATACCGGCGGAAATAGTCCAACGGGAATTTCAACAGGTTACTCAGATCTCTTCCCGGTCACTCTGTCACGACGAGAGTAGAAAACAAAAGTAGCTCTTTCTATACACGTTCTTATCATTCAGCGCACTTACAACCAGCTGTAGGTAAACGTATCCGATATGACCTGTAGGACGGGTCGAAGGGACTTGGAATCTCCCGTTACGAGGCGCTGCCATTAGCCTCCCGGCGGGAGCTCCTGCACCCCCTTGTGGATGTGCCAGAGCAGCAGCACGTGAAGGAGGAGTGGGGCCCACGTGGCGTAAGTTCGATGAGAGCACGTTCGGAATTTCAGATCCTTTGGAGGGGATTTTATAGCTGCCAAGCCATAGCTTGGGGGGGCCATATGGGCCTCGGCAGGCGGTAGGGGAATTAGAGGCCACTTACGTCATGCCATGAGAAATGAACAAAATCCGGCTTTCTTTTCCCGGCATGGGACAGGGAGTGGGTGGCAGGTACCCCGTCCCATACCCCGGACAACATGCCAACCCTGGTTTACTTGCCCTGGTGTTAGACAAACTCGACTATAATTAGGGCTGCGCTTCATTGGTTCATTGAGCCTCGAAGTGCTGGCGATAATCATTGACCGTTCTTAATCCTAGGACTCGGACACTGCTCGCTTCCTTCTGAGACTTCCCGTTTCTTTCCATTTCTATACTATGTATATGATATTTTTACGTTTACAGAATATCGTGCAAATATTGGTAAACATTTATAAATAAGTTAAATCACATTATTTGAAATTACTTCTTATAATATCTTAGCAAAGGCCTTTATCAAAATCTGATATCAAGGTTGAGACATTTGCAAATAATTCTTCAAAATCAGAAAACCTGTAATACATACAAGTCCAACCTATATTACATACTTATCTAGATAACTGATATTTATTTCATATAAAATAAATTCTTAAAAATTTTATTTTGATATCATTTATTCAACAGAAAAGTTCATTATCTTAAATATGTGTAAGATAGATATCTGGTGCAAAATTCTTTCATTAATAAAATTTCAACAATGGCAATCGTTATAAAAATTTAATAGTTATTAAAAAAATTAATCGCTTCTTGAGTTCAAAGTGATTTCTTCTTGTTGAGGGAATATTCATAAGAAAATAAAATATATCATACCACATGTTTTGAAAACTTCTATAACATCTCGTTTGAATGATATGTTAATCACATATAAAGTTTACATTAACACATGCACATAAAAGAATTAAAAACCGCATAGAATCTGTTGAATAATATAAATCATATATGCAGTGATTTCATTCAGAACCTGCTGACAATTTTCAAAAGTGAATAAATTAAATAAAACATAAATTATGAAGGGATATATTATTAGATAACAAATTACATAAACCTAAACCTATTCAGCTTCAATCCAAGGTAAAACCTTGGATTGAAATTGAATATGTATCAAAATCATGCAAGGGCTTCAATTTGTAGGGCTTTAACATTTCAAATTGATCAATCACATTTCTCGTGTTATAAAAAATAATAATTCGCACCGCTCACCTTGCTGAAATTTTGCTTTGAAAGGATTTTCACTTCCTCGTTCTTTCCCAACAAATTCACATCAAGATTTTTAATTCTCTACATGTGTTTTTATTCCTCCATGAAGCCGATTACATGATTTCGTTCCCAGTAATTCAACAACAATCTAGCGCAACCAGCCCCGCGACACATACAACTTCGCAATCTCAAGGCAAACATTGGCTATCAAGGAAAATGAGACATCTCATCTTGCAATACCTCCAAAGAGATCCCTACAACCGAATGCACATAACTACAAATCTCATACACACTCCCAAAGCCATCATAAAACGAACCCCTTACAAATAATACAAAACCTCTTAAGAATGAGTCTTCAAAATCAATAGAATCTTCTGCCATGGATGGTATCTGGTCTCTCCGTAACAACCACAGGCGACCAGCTTGCAAGACAACACTGGCTACAAAATATATATCAATCATGAGCAATTCTATGCCCTGAGGTTCCTACGCGTGTGCTCAGGGAGATTGAATTGAGTTTCTTTCGAATCGTAATGTCTACTTCACTCCTCCTCACGTCTCGAGAACTTGCAGTGGCTCTCCCAGAGCATGGAACTGGACTCGTGGAAAGGGTAACCGCTCAGCTGTCGTCTGTCAGGTTCGAGTGGGTTTCGTCGATGCATCCAAATTGCAAGACAAAGCGCAGTTTGTCGTGACAGGTCAAGCCGGTGACGTCCAAAATTGCGAAGAAACGGGCGAGATCCCAACAGTTTCCATGTCGTAGACTTAGAATTCACGCTGCAGCTCGGGATCTCACGTTGCCAAAGCATACAGCGCTGCAGAAGCGCTCGTACAATGCACACCACCGTAGCCTTGTTGATTATGAGATGCCTTACTTGAATTGCGTTGTCGAAAATCCGCTCGTTCGTTTGATTCGTGAGACGACAGTGGGCTTTAGCTCTGCTGAATTTCAAGTGCACAATGACCTGATCACATCTCTCTCGTTGGTATTCATATGAGTCACAGGTCGCAGTACAAAGTTTCACAAGGTGGTGCTTATGTTCTGAAACTCAGTTTTCTATAGAAAGATTTCCCTCCGTTTAGTGACGAATGACCCGTTCGGTTCAAGGGATGATGATGAAAATTGATAATATGCTTATCGAAATCCGATTGTACTTATCATTATGAGCTTCAGATGTTCTCGATGTAAGTACCGAAGTCACTTGTTGAAAATCTTCGACTCTAGCCGAAGTGCTCGGACTTCAATCTGGACTTTGGAGGCCCAAGGGCAGAGAAGAGCATGAGGAGTTTGGGAAGGTTTATAATGACGCCTTGAGCCGACCTCTCGCCTCCCCCTCCGCCTCGTGGAGTTTGTCCTTGAAAGATGTCACCACTCTGTCCCTGATTTCTTCGTCAAATTCTTTGAGCTGCGATTCTGTCGGGACAACGACTTTGACAGTTGCTCTGAGCCAATTTCTAAGGAAGGATTGAAAGGATTCCATGGAGTGGTTGACTGCTGAATATTTTAGCATGGTCTTTGGGGGTCCCTTTCTTCCAACAAATGGGTCATGGCCACGACGTTCGATCTGAACTCCCAATCGTGTAGTGATATAGTCGATGCGAGTACACCTCCGATTTGTGCTTGGCATCGAGTGCTGTGCTGAGCGTTAGCCAAGGCAAACCTTTGTTTAGACTGCAGTCAGCAAATCCAAACCGTCCGAGACTTTCCATGGGTGCAGAGTAACGAGCGTTTCTCTCTGCCATTCACCATTGAATATCCTGGGGCAGATGGCCAGGCTGCAGTGGCCATGGCTATGTCGATCTGGACACAAGGCACACGCAGTGCAGTTTCTCTTGATTTCCAAGCTTCTGTCCACTCACGGGAAGGCTGTGAAAGCTCTGAAAAGCGGAAAACTGGCTCGAGATCACGACGAATACGGACGGAAACGAGTCGGTCGGTCGGTCACTCACTCACGCACGCAGTGACAAAATACGGTTCACTATTGCGCGTCTATGAAAGAGGGGCCATGTTGATCAGAATGTTACGTGCTCGGCATAGCATCCTTTATTCTCCAAAAGGTGAAAAGTGAATTTGACCCTCGGACTTTGACTCAGACCACTGAGACCACCCTCCAACTCTTGGACTGGCCCTTGAACGCTTTTGCAAGATTCCTACATCTTCAAAACCATAATAATGTGAGCTTAAACTATACCAGATTCCTCCATTATATATGAGAACGAAGAGGCAAATCTTTATCAACACACAAGATCCAGATATTAAATTCGAAAAGGTCCTTCACCTCCGAAGGCTTTTGATGTTCAGCGTGAGAATGAGAGAGAATAAACAAGAAAATGACATCTTCGAAAAATTGCAATTTTGGCTCGTCTCGTCTAATCGTCGACCTCGTTTCACGGTACGCCCTCAAAGCCGCATAAAAATTCATAGAGCAGGCTTCAAATTTCGTTAGACATCAGGGCAGAGCAGAGGTGTATATGGTGATGATGATTCCAATGATTAGAATCAAAGGATAATTTCATGAAATTTAATTCAATGAGACGCACACAGAGAGAGAGAGAGAGAGAGAGAGGAACACAGAATTCTCAAATGTAGAGCCGTACAGGAGCAGCAGGAGTAAATTGAGTAGCCTGTGCACATGCATAAGGGATAGAACGTGCATAAAAGAATGATATTTCGTGCTGCCGGTGGTGGTACACCATCAATCAAAGAGGGTACACTGGAAATCTGGCTGTCTTCACTTTGATAGACACACACACCGAACAGTACGATGATTCGTTGCGGCATGAACGATGTCACGTGAAGCATTCGGAGGATTGCGAGGCCGAGGAGAGAAACGTACAGGCGCAGAGTGCATTTTCACCTGCAAGCCACTGTGAGCCATGCTTATAATAGTCGGCGAAACACGCCGTTCCGTGATGTGGATTGTTGAGCTATGGAGGCTGAGGCTCTGAGGCCTGAGGCCGGTATAGCTCACCGGTTTGTATCATGCTGCTCGCAGCGTCGGACCCGAATGATTAAAAGAGGTCGAAAGCGGTCTCAAGGCATTATCCAGAGCTTTTTGAATCTTTGCCGTTTCTGACATATGCCGCAGAATCTCTTGTCGATTCACCATCCGATTCGCTTCATTCCCAGCCTGAGGTTGAAATCAGCTGTCTCTAGTGTCTGTGTTACCATGTCCTTTTCCCTCTGATTTCTGGTCCTCTCGTCGTGCACGACGACCCGTGGAAAAGAGTTTTTTAAGCTGTTTCGATCCGCCGAAACAAGAGTCTTTAGGCCTTCTACCTTTCCTCCGAGGGATCTCCAAATCTGGTCACCAGCACAGTTTAGATATTTTATGAGCTCCTCTCTTCAATGAATCCGTCGAAAGTGCTCCCTGGTTCCAAAAGCTGCATGCTCTCTCGCGAACGATACAATCCTTTTGCTCTCCTGTCGCTTAGTTTGGATGATTCTTCTTCATCTTGCTGCTGCAGATGCAGCTGCTGCTGATCCACCACTCCCCATTATACATCGATCACAGATGTATAATGGGATTCATCGCCCCAGCTCGGAAGTGCACTCTTCCTGGTTTGCTTCTTTGGGAATGCATCGATTGCTTTTGGTGGCAGGTGTTTCTAGCCCATCGATGGTCCACGAATCGGGAAGACTCTGGCGATGATTTTGTCCTGAAAGCAGGGACTGGCTCCATGAAAGTGACACAAAATCTGATCTTGCCTTTGTCTCTATGTCCATCAACTCAACTCTCCTTAACTTCAGATGCCTTAGCATATATCTTGTTTTTGTGGTCTCATAACCATAACCGTGGTGATTTGATCAGGAGCCAAACAGGAGAGAGTATCAAAAGGAGATCAGTATGCGTAAAGCTCGAACATTGTCTTTGAAATTATTGCTATCCTTAGAAAGATATGCTTTTGTCATTAGACTATCAGAGTCATTATTGCAAAGATGCCAGCGACATTTGATTCATCCTTTTTCGAAATTTTAAGGTCTTACTTCCTGAACGATGAAAGGATGTGCTGATAGAAGCAATCGAGTTAGTGGTTATGTCTGTAGCTTGTTGGCCCCAAATGCCCAAGTAGCCTTCGATTCCCCAATTTACTTGCAAAGCTTATATTTTCAATCCAACTAAATGCTCTCGGTTGTTTGGTGGATGGCACATGTGCTTGGGGAAACATGGGCTCTGTTTCTTGCTTCCTGGGGAAATCTCAAGTATTTAGGGTGCATGATGGCTCACTTTCAATCCTAAACCCTAAAAACTTTAGGGTTTTTAGTTCACTCTGGTTTTCTACTTTTCTAAGCATCGGTAAAAGAAGTATTGCTACTTCGTCTTCTATATTACTCAAATGCTTAGAAATTTCGCTGCCACACTTCACACTGCAACTACTGGTTGGATCTGCAAGGAATTTTTTCTTTTCTATTGATAATTCCAAAAATGTGATATTCGATGCAAATAGTCTTGATCGAATAGCATGCAGTTTCTAAACTTTATGGCAACATCTTTCAAAATGTTTCTTATTCTTCAATGGAATATTGTATCGCTCTGTTTGACCAGGGACAAGTATCTTGGAGCCGAGGAATGGCAACATTGCTTCAGTGGAACATCATTGAGCAAAAGAACAAAAATCAAGTTGATATCATACGTGGATCGGTCCCATTACCTTCTTAAACTTTGACGAACAATACTTCCACTTGAAGGAAGTCTACTTGCCAAAGTAAACATCCTATCTCATAAAGTTTTAGCATGAGACAAGATAACGAAAATAATGAAATGTCAAATCCTCTTCTTTTCAAGGATTCTTGCAAAGGTTAGTTGGGACCGAAAGGGGTTTAAAAGTTGGTGAAAAACACCTCTTCAACTTGTCTGCTCACGTTAGCGACACAAGGAGACAACATACATTTACGTCTATGGTTGTGGTTAATTCATATTTTTATGCCACTTCAAAGTACGTAGTGGGGATGGAAATGCCACTTAGATGGATTTCATTCTGTCCTCCAATATCTGTCTGAATAGATGTTGATAGACAAGAATTTATGTCCAAAAGAGGAACAAAAACACATCATTTTTCATGAAAGACGAGCTTAAATATCAACATGGGAGGACGAGAAGATCAAATCTGTACCCAATGTACTTGATTTTGGCTTCTTTACCTTACAAAACAAACGACGAACGCCTTTACGCAAGTACCATAATGCCTTCAGTCGTAATGTAGTCTTTTGACAAGAGTTATTCCCATCCTTTTCGTCCATATTGCGTATTATCATAAGTTCCTCAAAGCAAGAGCATTATCTCCAAAAGTGCAGTGTAAGTCAGGTTACGTGCTCGAGCCTTCAGTCTCCAGTAAAAAAATATTAGCACTTGGATCTTTGTTCAGTAAAGCAAAATCAGTCAACCTTTCCTCCCTCATGTCTGATGTCAGCTCATATAGAGTATGCAGGCCATTTTTAATTTGCTATGATATCATGATCCGTAGAAGGTAAACAAAGAAGACATGAAGAAAAAGAACCCCCATCCCATCAACGAATGCTGCCAACTCTCGTTGTACCAACTGAGCGCGAAATACTTGACATCAACAGCAGCCCTCAGGAGCAATTGGCAATAAGTTCCAGATGAGCTTGGGTGTTATTCTCCATCTTTGTTGAGCTTTACTTGCCTCTTGATTTTATACTCCGCCTTCTGTGAAAGCTGAGGAATATCCAAGTGTGCTAATAGAGCTCCTAGCAATTCATCATCTAAATGATCCCGAATCTTTGGAGCATAACCCAATTTCCTCGAACTGAGCATGAAGTGGGTTTTGAGAACCTCCCATGAGGCAATGTCCACTAGAGTGTTCGCGTCTTGTCTTCGATCATTGTTTCGCTTTTTTTCTAAGCAGTCTATGAAAGATCCTATGATGATCCATGAGGTTATGATCTTTATCGGCAGTTGGATTTACTGCAACTCAAACGTTATGACATAATATTATTTAAGGTGATCATCAATCATTTTCTGAAAACCATAATATAATTTTTTTGATGTTGCAGTCACAAAATTCTGCTTGTACATGAATTTTTAGTTAAGAAATTATTTAAAACTTGAGATTTTATATTATATGCGTGACTATGTTACCCTTGTTACTATAGTTAAGTTGAAAGAAGATATCAAAGTAGATGATATATGATGTAATATAGTCTAAAAGTGATTTTGGTTATAGAAAAAAATAAATTGAAATTTTTTCACATACATACTTTCAATTATTAGATTGGTTTTTTTTTCCTTGACTCCAGATTTCTTGATACTAAACCTAAATTCAAATCTTGAGTCAAGGATAATTTGGCACAACAAGTGAAGTGAACTATTAAAAAATTCAACTTAATAAATTGCAAATTGATTTATAATCCTCTCAATGACATTATAATTTTTTATTTCCATTCAAATTAAAAAAAAACTACACGATGATTACCTGTAGCTAGTAGTGTAAAATCAAAACAAAATTTTGAATATCAATAAAAAAAATCATTTCTCCAATAGGGAAAAAAAACCTGGGAGGAGAATTTTGAATATCAAAAAGTGATGTTTATAGTTAGAATATTTTTTTCAAGACATCTTTCAGCATTTTTTTAAGGATGACTAATCTGAAAATTTAGAGAAAATAAGAAATTTAAATTTAAATTTTTTTTGAAATGATATATCAAAAGCTGTGATTCTTGAAACATGAAATTGTTGGTTGATTATTTGATTTGAAGAATTCATTAAAGTTAAATGTACAAGATAAAGAGCTTAGAGTCAAATTTCATTCATAAGGTTTAATGACATTTTGAATTTTAATGCAAAAGAACCACTCAGTACTGCTTTTAACTGTTACAAAGTAAATGATTGTATGAAAGAACTAGTAAAATTCAGTTGAAGAAAATTGTGAGAGAGTTGCAACCAAATATCTACAATAAAATAATATATAATTTTCCTATTTGATATTATTGAATGATGCATGAATTATTTTGTACATAAATATAATTAGATATTAGTTGAAACAAACATAATTTATAAAAAATTTATTGTTAATTATTTATATTAAAATTATAATTATTATTCTTCACTTAAATTTAATACGAAAATTTGATAACACAATATTTATATATATTTAATTTTTTCTGAATTTTAATGTCCTAAACCCTTATCATATACTTTAAAACATTAAGATCTTAAATTTATTTACACTTTTCCTTCTATCTTTCATATATGTTATATTATTTTCAGGTTTGATATTAACTATTGTATTTAAATTTTTTGAATTTTCTCAAATTTTTTTTGTGAAAAAATATAAATAATAAAACTCAAAATTTTAAATTTTAAAATAGAAGCAATAAAAACTTTTATTTTCACTCTTCAAATAATTTTTACTTCCAATTTTTTCTTCAATTAATATTTTGATCATCTTGTTTTCATAAATCGATGCTATGAAGCAAGTAAACCTATAAAGAAAATTATAATACAAAGGTAATTTTTTTTCACATCTGAAATATTTAATTTATTTTCAAACAATGAAGTTTTCAGTTTTTAAATTAAAGCAAGAAAAATTTCAGAACTATATATGTGAGTCGTCAACTTCAGATTGACTAACATCTTCAGACTGAAGTATTCACTGTTTAGTATTATCTATTTTTGCTTATCATTTCATGCATAGAGAATATTTCCATTTCCTAACATATTTCACAATTTCAGCTTCAAAGACCAGATTAAGAAAATTTTCAGAACTACTAAATACAAGAACTAGAGGAGCTTTGAGTTTTCTGCTTCCACTCTGTTGATAAACGAATTTCAAGCCTCTGTTCGATGACTATCTCAATATCAACAAAATTCAGTGAGAATTTTGTTACAGTCTAATTTCTCAGTCATTTCAAGGTCAATTGCTTTATGGTGCAAGTGCATTGATTGAAATTTTATGTTCAAGGTTGGCACAGCTCCAAGACTTTCAGACTATGACGTAGATGAAATAACTCCAACACTGGTATTTTGACCAGGTGGGTAAGTGAGATGCATTCAGTTTCGAAAATGAACTGAAGTCGTTAAAGGGTTAAAAGGATCAGATACCTTTCCCTGAATGAATTTGTACACAAAAGTGCACGCAAAAACTGAACCTTACAAATAGATGGACCTCAAATCTAGTGACTACAATACGAGACTTGAAATCTCGTCGTTTAATCTAGACACTAAGCACTTGTAACATATAGCTAGCTTAGATGAAAACACTGAGGATAGAATAATGCATATCTAATGACTACAATACGAGTCTTGAAATGTTGTCGTCGTCGTTTAATATAGATACTAAGCATTTGTAACATGTAACTAGCTTAGATGAAAACACTGACGGTAGAATAATGCATCAACAATAGATACATATACTGACTATGCTGTTATGGACATGGGAAACTAAATAGTTGAAAATAACAAGATTACACGCGAATTTCTACTGGAAATACCCATCGAGGGATGAATATTGCCACTTACTTCCAACACAGCCTATACAAATTGCTCAAATCGCCTCGAATGTGATAATCGATGCTTTATTTGCAATGAGTCATTACAGTAACTTCGAAACCAAAAGTCAGTAAACATGTAGTTTCACGGACAATCATCTCAGAAGCATCTTAGGCTTTTTAAAGATCTGACATCCAAACATCAATGGAAAACCAATGGCAAACTGCCCATAACAAACAGATGAGACTTCCAAATACTGGTCTGTCCATAGGTATGTACACAAAGCTGATCGTGTGTATTGAGAGTAAAAAGCCTACTCAACCATGAACGTTACCAGAAAATAGTCACAACGCTGCAAAATGTTACGCTTTGATGTTTCTTTCTTTCCAGATGCTGATGTATAAGTAGACAGTTTTAAATATCATTTCAAGTCTGAACGTGAGTCTTATAAAATGTTTCGAACTAAAACTTACACTACAGAACAACAGATACTGGGGCCTTGAACATTATATATCACAAACCAAGTCAGTCTTAAATGACGATGACAAGTTCCAGAATGTGCTCTTTTCATCAGACTTTCAAGCTCACCTTCCGCAATCACAGTCCCGATGTGAAGGAAACTCGGATTCGAGTTCGATTATGAGAGCTTTGTAATGAACATCACTGTGCGTTTGTGCTCCACAGACCGTTCTCTGGACTATCCAGAGAGTTCCCATGACGAGACTATCTCCCACATGAATCCAAAGGTAGCAACCGTCTCTCATATGCCTGTCGTAGCAGTAACCCACAGAGCAGGGGAGCCCTAGTCAGGCCCTCAAGCATCATCATCTTTGTGCTTGATTAATAACGAAACATTGTCCAGCTACTCCCTGAGCAGCAGGCAGTATCAGAGCTCTATAACGAAGTGCCCGTTGAGTCGGTGAAGACAGACTCACTGTTGTTCTGCATTGTCAGAGATCAAAACGTAGAAACGAGCTGAGCTGTGAATGATCAGTATGCTGTAAGGTTTAACATCCTGACGAGCAGTTTCTTTCGAGTACGAGATTACACAAAGTCTTCCCGGTGGTTGGAAATTTTTGGATGCAATGACCAAACTAGTGCGATCTCTCGACAGGCTCTACACTTCGGTCCCAGGTTTCTACCTCTTTTCACCTGTCCTTGTTTCATACAGGCGACTAGCAAGATAATTATTTTGCTTGTGCAGGCTGGAAAATGATTTTGGTTCTTACCTGTCAAGTGAAAGGTGTTCATATATATAATCTTCTTTGGCCCATTTTCTGAGTCTCATACGTCTGAAATTACAATGCAGAATTCAGATCAGTCGATCATGTAAAGTTTGAAACTTAACTTTGTCCATGTCCTGGTGCGAGTAAGGTTCGTGTTGATCAAAACTGTGATCCATGTTCTTTCCTGTTAGTATCAGACAATGGTGAACATCCTCCTGACTTACACAGCTGAGAAAGTTTTACTTCTCATCATCTAGCTCGTTAATCTCTAGCTTACACAGCTAGAGATTTAATCTCAGAAAGTCCTCAGACCGATGTCTGAGAGTGCCGGATCCTTTTCTATTTTCCAAGACCGTGAAGCAAAGTAAGTGGGAAATTGTAGGAAACACGAAATAAATCGTGACTCACGCATGTTTCGGTTTCAATCCCGAGTTGTTGTATGATGTGGCTCACATTCACTCGATGAATACGCAGGTGGCAAGGTACATGGAGAAACTGGAGCCCACTTTCTTTGCTTTTCTAGAGGTTCAAATTGAAACTCATTTTGCCGCAATCTTTTCAGGTGTCTTCCGGCTTGGAGCTTCGGGTGCTTCATTCCCTGCAGTGCCCTTCGGTGTAGTCCAACAAGTTGCAGCAGATTGGAACTCTCTTTGTAATCACTTGTCCTTTGACGTTTCCATCTGCTCTTCAATTTTCTCCGAATATTGCAAATTTGTTGATGTTTCAAAATGTTTCGAATCGGGTTATCAAGATGCTGGTGCTTAAATGTGGAAGTCTAGAATCCGACCTCCGGCCTCAGAAGTAGGTAATGGATTTTTTTTGAAGTTTAATTTCATGAATTTGATATTTGAAATAATTCTTTTGTTTGAAAAAATAAATCTGATACATATTCTCCCATCGGAATTTTATATGGTTTTTAATCCAGTTTATGACTGATTGAAAAAAAAAATTATTTAAAAATCATTTCTAGTAATCTTAAACTTTTCAACCTTATTATAATATCATGATGACTATAAGTATTGGTACAGCTTTTTTTATTTTTGCTTTCCAAATGATATACTTCAACTTCCTTAATATAATATAGGGATCAAGTACAGAGTTCAATGATTTTGTTATTCGATAATTGACATATCTTAAATATCAAAATAATTTTCATAAAAAAATGAAATTTTTATCAAAGCATTTAATGTTATAATTTTTATTCAACTATTTCATGAAATTTATGCAGGAAAAAAATTTTAATATTGAATTTAATGGATTGTAATATATAAATTAAACATTCTATTATGAAATTAGCAAAATAAGCACATAGTTTTTTTTTTAACATTGATTTCATATAGGACAAGAAGCTATTGTAAAGATAATTATCGAAATTAACATAGTATATGAGAAGTTATTGTTATATATTGATGAAGTTTAGACCATCCCCATCACTAATGATGAGAGTTCCAAATAAACGATGAAAAACTGAACGTTTTAAATTTTCAATTGGAAACGAAGGACACACAATGGTAAATCATTAATGTTTCATGTTAGTGGGAGATTGTGAGATGAGTACATACAAATATATCGATGGTCTTCATTTCGATAATCATGAACAAGATTGTATGAAGGCTCATAGTAAGAATTAGATTAACTAAGACTCAGTTCGCATTAGAACATAAACTTTAGTTTTCGTATTCTTCTGATTTAAAAGTACAGAACAGAGCCCCTAAATTCGATCGTTCACCGTTTACTGTGGTAGTAGGTTGGCGCTTTTTTGGAATACTGAGCATTCCAGCTGCTTGCTATCTACTGACTGATCACGATGCCACTTACACCGGTAGACGAGGTACGTGCAACATAGGAGTGGGAGAGGATTTACAAACGAAGATATCAGAATTATACGGATTACAATATACTTCAGACCGAAGACTTGGTGAGATTTGGTCACCACCAAGGATAATATCACATCTGCGTTAAACCATGTATAGCAAGAGGGCAACTTTTCTTCCCGACGGCAATCTTCTTCGTTCTGTCACATGGAATTTCGGTGTCACATCTTTGTCATGCATCTGATATTTCATCCCCTCGACATTCGACTTCGGTACTTTTCGTTGGGCGTCTGCCAAGGCTAGCAAGGTGAGAAATGCTGCCGCGTGCAGTGAGCTGAAGTATTTAAGCTGATGTACAATCTGTGTTGAGGATGGTGTATTCGAACTACTTATCTGTGATCAAACTTTCAAAGAAGCTATCCTTTTACTTTCACTACTGCTCATAGTACATGTAAAATTTCGATAGTAGAATGCAGATTGAGCTGACTTGAAAAGGTCCGATGAGATGAGAGGGCAGAGTGCCGTGGGCTCATGCAATGTGCATACCGCAGCTCTCTGATTGAAACATGTAATACAACAGCTGTTCTTTTCATTACAGTGAAATCTCTGGCTTATGCTTTAACTAGGTGCTCCGACACTTACCCCAGACATCTCCAGAGGTCGGAGAGGTTCAGATGTCAAACACCTCCTCCATGAATTTATGGAGGCCAAGAAAGAGCAAAGTCAATGTTTGATAGAGTCACACTTTCGAGATAACACCCAGCAAATCCAGGGACCTCTTTCGCGTTGCAGCAAACACATTCCAGAGCACAAACGACGTTGGATGTCTCGAAAAGTTTACTTCTGTTTCCGTTACAACGCATCAACAGCGATATGCTGCATCATTCAACCAATCCACCATCCGCTATGGTTCCAGTTACAAACAGCTGATTAAGTTTCATCCCAAGCATACTGCCTATCCAAACCAAAACAGGTATATGAATGTACGATCCGTTACAAATGTCTCTTTTCCCACGTGTGTAAGAAAGTCAACAGAAACACAAATCAAAAGCCCTGGCTGCATTTCCGCCACTAAGTGGCCCACATCCATTAAGTTCTCAAGAAGCAAGGTTTGGCTTCCATAGAAGTTGCTACGTTCAGCTTTGATGTGCACGATAAAGGCCAAGAGATAGCTCCTAGGCATCATCAGAAATTTCATATGCCGAACTGCGTCTACTGCAATCAATAATGTTGCAATTTCTTCATAACTTTATCAAAGAACCGAAGAAGGCGTTCCACTGGTAAAGATTCACGACCGTATACTCGATCTGCTCCTGCACAAAACAGAAGTAGCAAAGAACACGTGATAAACGAAATGAGTGGAGACAGAGGATCTATTGATGTTTGAAAGCATCACTCAATGATCTTGAAGGCATTGACTCTGAAGAATTTGCCTTTCTTTTACAGCCTTTAATGTTGAATTAACTCATAAGACAACTGTATTCACAGCACGAACTTCGAATATGTGGTGAGGCAGCTATAAAGCAGCTCTAGCACTTAAAAAGCTAGCACCGTCCCCACATACAATGTCCTCTCTCGGTTTGAGGTTTAAATAACAGAACCTCATAAAACTAACTTCACCGTTCTATTCATTATGGAGGCGAAGGAAAATTCATTAAGCTCTATACTGATAATGTCAACATATGTGTAATTCCTTCAGACTACAAACGACACATGCAGGCGTGTGAAATTTGGCAAGTCTATTGCAAAAAAAACATAGCCAATCTCAGCACGGGCACAGCATTCCCAAATAAAAAGGTCGATTCCTCCTTTGAGAACAAACAAAACCTGAGATAGTCATTACGATTTCATTGAAGGTAAAGGCAAGCAAGGAACACCTGCCAAGCAATATAAGAATGTGTAGCATTCCTTCAAGGTGTACATATAAGCTCCCTGCGATTAAACGACGAGCAAGGACGACTCAGAAAAAAACTAATACTCGCAGCATCACCGCAATTTCTAGTACTTTCGACTGCAAAGTGCATAGTTATAGCGACTAATTGAGCCACAACATGTTTAAAAAGGACCACCACGCATCAATCCTGAAAACTTTAAAAAGTAGACACACTTTCAAGGAAAAATTGCTACAGTAAGCCTGGGCTTTCGTGAAAATCACGTATACCTCTCTATTCAAGGGAAAATACGAAACCTAATTTCGTTTCGTTGCTGAAGCGTGGAAACAATTCACTTGAGAATGGAACACCTAGCGTCACAATCTGGCTGAAGCCTAAACCAAGTACAGTCCGTTGAGATTTTGGAAAGAAACGTAAGTCGAGACGTTTCTCGGGACCAACTACAACCAGAATTTCTTCCTACCATGAACCCTAAAACCCTAAAAGCAGCACTCGCAGTCGAATGGACACAATGAAGTGCCACCAGCATTTTTTTTGCCAAACCCAATCTCATCTTCCGAATATATCGTGAATCCATCAATAGTCTTCTTCCTAGCTTTCGCAGAAGATGGAGTAACAGAATTCGAAGATGGACGATTCGAACTTATTGATACAGATTTCTCTGCCTCTCCGCCCTTCTTCTTCTTCTTCTTATTCTTCGTTTGAGCTGCAAGTTCAGCGTGCAAGTCCTGCTCGGGTACCACAACCTTCCGTTTCTTGTTTCCGAAAATTTCATCTATCTCACTCTTGGAAGATTTTCCCACAACATGGATATCATTCACCTCCTGTCCAGAAGACTCGACTGCTGCAGTCTTCTTTCCCGCCGTACTCGCATCCTTCTTGTGAGAATTCGCCTGATCTTTCTCCGAACGAGTGGCGCTGACAATACTGCCTTTCTTCTCAGGTCCTTTCGAGAGCCCCATCTCCAGTCCCACAGAGCCCAAACAGGAGAAATTTACAAGCACGAACACTTCATCGAGATTTCATTTCCTCCAAGTTGATCAGCTTCGAGGTAATCCCACAAATGTTCACGTAGCCTGACGATTAAAGCATGAGATCGCCTCGTCATAGAAACATAATCTTCTGCATCGTTACAGGCAATGAAGGAGCGGTCGAATGTCGGATACAGCGTCTCGAAACATGCAGATTCACGTCACGAGCATGAAGGCACATTATCATCACGCCGCCTAACAATCCTTAAACCCTTCGTACGAGTGGTCCGTCCTGTTTCCATGGAAGCCAAACAAAACCCAGTCGTATTTTCGTCGTGCCGAAGGCAATAAGTAATACAGCAAAAAGGATGGCAGAGCAAATTTGGCCCCACCATGATGAAATGTGAAGTACCATCATAAGAATATGAAAATTCATTACGTAATGGACTGATGGAAACATATTCAATATTTTACACTTTACATGAACTAAAACAAGTCTAATAGCCTCTCATGCATAATCTGTCCCGGATTTCCATTTATAATTTCAAGGGCTAGAGGGAAAAAAATTAAAAGAATTCTCTGTATACTAGCAAGATTCTGCGCTTTGGTTTATGCTCCAATTACCAACCGATAAAACAAATTTTTTTGTGAGATGTCGATTATTCCGTGCCAGGACAATGGTATTGGACCTTCATCCATTTTGCTTGAAATGTGCAACTTTTCGCATGAATTTGTCTTACATAAAAATTTGTACAATACTTAAATATGATTATCTAAGGTATTGTCATATTTAAACGAGAACATCCAATTTGAGCAAATGATATCAATTCAAACTTATTTTCCCGGATTTATGATATTTAACTACGTTGGAATTAAAAGAGGGCATACAAACTAATAGATCAGAATAAAACGAGCTGACTCATTTGTTCTGTAAGAAATGAAAAAAATCAATTTATCTTTATTCACTTTATTTAAAATATCCATGAGGTGAACATTAAAAGCAATTTAATTATTTCCTATTAATATTCGAAATAAATTGACTGCAGAGTTGATCACGCCGCCTAAGATAATGTTGGCCAATCCCCTTCAACTCCCAAGCATTGCCAATTAAGAATATAGCACAGTACCTAGTGATCATATAAACGACGTGATTCCTGTTGGGTCCGCTTGACGTATACCACAGATCAGAGTAACCGGCCAAATCCAAGAAAAACCAATCGAACAAAAGAAATAAAAGAAATTTTCCACATCCAACAAATCAGAGAGTTTGGTCAGATGTGTACAATCTGTACACCAATGTACAATCTTGACCCTCGTGTCATGTGAAAAGCAACCGTCAAGACAAGCCTATGGGAGGCCAAAGATGCGGGAGAAGGGACTTGGAACACCGCCAAGCCAACACGTTGTGATGCTGCGAACGAGCTCTGCCCGATTCGGTCGTGGAGATCCCAATCTCGCACCGTCGGGCCGAATGATGCGAATCACAAAATGGCGATATAGGGGAATTACAGGGTCGCTGAGGGGCTTAATGCTTTGCGTCATGGTGATGATGGGCTCTCCGCACGTAAAAGCCAACCTCCAGCAGCTACTCTGTATACGGCAGCACGGATCGCGGAAGAAGCCGCGCCCTACTGACAAAAATAATCCGACTCAGATAATTGTCGGTTGCACTATGCTAATGAGTCTGAAGGTGAAGGGTTGCCTTTCCTTCGTCCGATCATATAAAATTCCCCGTTTATAATAAATCCACGGGCCCCATCACCTCTTACGTGCCCACGATCCAGACAGAGAATCGGAGACAGAGATTTAGTCCCTAGTTCTGTGCTCTGATCGAACTCCTTTCGGTATTTTATTCGTCGAGTTGCAAATAATATTCCCGTTGTACTCCAGCGGATGGAAGGGGTCTTGTTCAACTTGTTGCCAGGTGTTGTAGTTTTACGTGGTTACACGACGAGTGAAGAGAAAATTGTCACATCTTAGATTCTATACTGCGACTGGAATTCCACCATTGCGAGTTGATTTCATGAACCACGGCAGCCCTCCACCAACGAGAGTAATTTCTCAAACTGCCCCTAGCGTCCTTCACTCCACTCCACACCAAGCAGGTAATGAGTGCGTGAATGCCGACAGCGCTTTGCTCCTCGAGACCCGAACATCCGCACGAACATCTAAACCCTGTTTTCTCTCATCTAATCGATTTGATCCCCTCTCGGCCTCTTCTCGCATACAACGTTCGCCTCGTTCGGTGACATCGGCCTCTGAAGGGCCCGCAATGACCAATTTTTGCAACTGAGGGTACGAAGGACCATCTCTGACACTGTTGACTCAAAAGGGGGCGGGGGGAGGGGGGATCAGGGCCCGAAAACGAACAGACTATGCCTTTCTCATAATACTGATACCGCGGGATTGCCGCAGGAACTGCCCGCGCTGCCCGGATCGCAGGGCAGCCGACGCAAACTACGAGCCGCAAAGCGGAGGCGAGGGAGGACGTGAGATACGGTATCTGGTGAAGGCGTGGGGAGGCGAGATAGCAGCTGGCGCTGCATTGCGGCACGAGAACGTCTGCGCTTTGCGGGGGCGCTCTTCTTGCAGCGGGCGCCTGTGGACGAAATCTGAGCGGCGAGGCGAGGCGAGGCGAGGGCGGAGGTGAGGTGAGGTGAGGTGTGAGGGACGACGCCGAAAGAAGCGTTTTCCGCAGTGCCTGGTGTCACTGGCTATCTCGTTTCGGCTGTGGTTCGGGCTTGCGCGTGTGCTTCGTGGATCGAGCTCCGGGTTCTTGATGATTTGGGGAGCCTTGCCCGCACGCTCTGACGATGGTCGAACTAGTCGACAATCCCCCGGTGACGAAGCCGAGGTTAGCGCGCATTCAAAGCCCGAACATTGGTGGAAAATCCTGTTGCTGCGATTGGTGAATGGTGTTGTCTGTTCGTTTCTTGTGTTCCGCTCAGACGGATTGTGTTGCGGACCCAGTGCGCTCGGTCGGGCTGCTTTGGATGTTGTAGCTGATTTGGACAAGGTGTCGCTTCCTGGCTCTTGTGGGCGGACTGGAGTGGTCCGAGAGCTAGATCTGTTAGGTTTGACTGAGTGGTTGTGAGCTTTCAGCTGCCACATTTCGCATTTTGTGTTTCGCCCGGGGTCATGGTTCAGCATGAGGTGACTGGATTGCTCATGACTTCGTCGGGCTACTCGTCAGAGAAATTTCAAGTTTGCTCGGCTACCGTGTATCGGTTTCTGGTGGATCAGTGCAGGGATGTAATGAGCCTGTTGTTGGTTTATTTTGCTCACTTAGGGTTCTTTAGTTACAAATATCGATGGTTCAGTCAGGAAAAGGCAGAGAGTATGCAGAAGTAGCTTTCGGGGGTGGGTTTCACTCTCTCGTGGGGAAATGTATGAAGATATTTCTTTCTTTAATACATGTCAGATATGTTATTTCATGATTCTGCCTTTGCAACCTCCTCGTGTATTTTCAGTATAGATTTTGCCGAAGATTGGTAGAGTTGCGTCACTGGGTGAATCTCATCGCCTCATCTAAAAGACCGTGGCATTTGGATGGACAGGAACTGAGAAGAGCTTTTTGTCCTTTGGACTGTGTAATGGAGATGAATGCGTAATTCACCTCTTAGATTGAAGATCATCTCGCAAGGTCGAGGCTGCAATCAGTGTACAATTTACCCTTTTTTCTGCATAAAATTCTCTCATCTGCACATTGTCGAATTCGGTGATGGGCTCAGTTGTGTCCGACCAAGGAAGGTTGGCCGGAACGTTCTTCAACTTCGTTGGACTCATAAATATCCCGGCATGATCACCCATTGAGTTATTGTCAGTGTGCGAGGAGCCGTTCAAGATGGCTCTACATTTTAAATTCAGAAGCGCAGTGGAATATGATTCTGTCAATATAGAAGGCCACTTCATCTCTGTTGCTAGTCTTAAGGACAAGATCATTGAGGCCAAGAATCTTGGTAAAGGCACGGACTTTGATCTTCTCATTACGAACGCCCAAACTGGCGAAGGTATGAATCTTAGAACTTCCGAGGTTTACAGGCAGGACTCTACTTAGCTTTATTCTGTCCTTCTTCCATCTCGAATTCAATTCTGAAATTTTGATTGCCGAGCTTGAAACCCAAAAAAAAATTTTGTGGTGACTAAACTTTTGTTAGGATCTTACATGTACTTGTTGTACTGACGATGGCATCGGAATCGATGCCATCGTCAGTTGGGAACAACTTGTCCTTTATGAATGCTGCAGTTACAGTTTGATAAACGATTCAACTTCTGAAACAAATACTAACCCTTGTGACCATCTCTGACAGAATATTCGGATGATGCCTTCCTGGTTCCAAAGAATACAAGTGTTATCATTAAACGCGTGCCGGCAACAAGGGCAAAGCCTGTTCTACGCGTGGATGATCAGTAAGTGCACTTCTTGTAAATTAATGAAGACTTTTGACCTTATATTGTTTTGGCATTTATTCCTTGATGATTAAGTGGATATAGTTATATGGTTTTTGCAAGCTCATATTTCTACATTCTTAAGGCTCTGGCTCCATACTCGTCCTTCGGAGCTCTCCGCCAACGAAATTTGAGCTTTTGAGCTAATTTGTTCTACTATTTGGTCGTCACATCATTCCTAACCCTCCTGTGTATACGTTCAGACCCAGGTCACAATCTGCCGATCAGTCTGGTAGTGAGGTCATGAAAGGCGTAGATGCATCATCGCACCTGTCTGTTTTCCAAGTAAGTCTAATGTTATCAAGCTCGAATCAGTTTAGAGTTCTGTTGCTTTGGACTTCTATCTTGCCGATACTACTTTAAAATATTCTATCCATCGTAAAGATGACTTTTGCAATTACATGCTTTTGTGAAGCAAATGGCACTACAAGATGTGATAAATTGTACAAGTATAAATCTGGTGAACATGAGTTCCTGATCCTCCAACTCTCCTTCATAAGCCCAGTCATAAACATGATGTGGAGATAGGTTTGATATTTATATTCGAGAATCATATGCGAAATTTTGGCATGTGAAGAGTCGGATGGGAATCTAAGACCATGTTAACCACCACTTGAATACGTATTTGCGATGAAACACTTTAACAAGTTACATAGGTTTTGACATCTTCTTGAGGCCGTTAAATTCTTACATTGAACGAATTTGAACAATATACAGATGGTCGTGTGGCTACCAATATGCACATTTATTTGCTGTCAAATGTGGGAATTGACAAGTCCGATCTGTAAGAAGCAATGGACACTTCGATGGTTTTACACAACTCATTTACCATCCTTTTTCCAATTACGAAATATTGTTAGTTACCTCACACTAGGAATGAGATAGCACAGTGAGTTTCAGGACTGTAATATGATTTTCTGCCAGATTGATAATATATGTTTTTACTCTGGAGACTCAGGGGAGCCATTTGTACCCTGGATGTGGAACTTTGCAGGACTTGACAGGGGACAGCATGGATGACTTTGGTGTTGATTTATATGCCATTCCTGAACCAATTCCAAGCAAAATTGATAAAGATGAGAACAGCAGGATAACTGCTTTGGTCAATAAATCTGCTGCAGAGTGGCAAAGGTAGAAAATACAGGACTTCTTGTACGTCTGAAGTTTCAAACGATTCTCTCTAAGTCTTTGTGAGGTGAATATTTGTTGATACCATAAGTCTTTGGTGTCGAAGACTGGTCACAGATGCTGTTTTGTTTGACATATAGGGAGTCATTGATGGGAAATATTGACGCTTGCTTCCTGTATACTTGTTTCTTTGTACAGTTATTGTCTATAAGAATTTTGTTGATACGTACTGGAATGTAGGCTGTGATCCTGGGGCGCTTAAAATTCATGTTCATCAATCCTGAGGTTTTATGTGTTGTGGCTTTTCAGGCAAACGCAAGAAGCCTACGCAGGGGGTCGGGGTTTTGGAAGGCTAGCATATGGCCGGGGAATATCAAGAGGTGTAATTTCTGTTCTTTGCGGACTAGCTTTGTAGATATTGTTTTAGTACTTGAAACTAGCAAAGACCACAGTGTCGGGAACTCCATTGAGTTGGTGCGAGCTTTACCATGGTGTGCGAGGACATACAGCTAAAGAATTTCGCTTTTGCCATCTGCCCTTTCTACTTCATGGGTGTGGCAAAAATTTTGTGTCTCGACGAAACCGTGGTTGTACTTAACTCTTATATTAAAGAATAATGGCCGGTTGTACTTGGATGTGCAATTACCAAGAGTACTCCAGTCTCTTTTATATTGTCTCCTTTCTCACAATTAGTTCTAATCTAAGACCTAGAAAAGAGATTGTAGAACTGTGACAATCGGTTTCTTCTGATGGGCGTATTTCGTGTCGCTTGAAAGAACTTTCTCGTTCTCTTGAAAGCGGAAGTATTTTAGACAACTGTTTTCAAGACAATACATGCAAGGGTGTCATTTAGTTTTGAGAGGGGCCCGTTTAGAGCGATGGTACATTTGTTCTTTCAGACCTTCTTTGAAGTACACAAACGGGTTATGTTCACAACCTTTCACAAGTAGGGACCATCTTGTTCACAGCCATCTGCCGTGGAATTTGTACCGTGTCCAAAGCTGGAAATATGGGGGGAAAATCTTTTTCCGAATTCTATGTACTGAAGACATCGAGAAGATTTCGTCCGCCCATATTTCCGGCTCATGATTTTGAAGATAACGACTCCAGTACACATGGTGATCGTCTACCTTCTACTTGGGAGCTGATTGTGAAGGGTGAATGCTCTGGCCTTGTATGTTAATCTAGTCATCTTTCCGGGCTACCCAACTTGTAATATCTATTGATCCATCGCAATGTTTGTTCCTATTATCGTACACAACTGGACATTTGAGGACCTACCTAACTTAATGGATATTCTAGCTCTCTGATATTCAGAAATGTCCAAACGTTTAACGTTAATTTTTTTTCTGTTCGCATCAAGTGATTGCTGACAGCATGCGATCTCAACAGACCCTTGAGTGCACACCTAAGTACGCAGAATTGTACTTTTGCTTTGTTCCCGAGTACAGACATTGTGTTTAGATACAATCTTCTGTAAACCTCGTACCTAATGCTCGTTCAGTCCAATATTGTTGCTATTAGTTTAGACGAATATATCTCTGCAGAAGGTATGAAGTGCTTCCTGTTTTTATGTCGTCTGAGGTGGCAAGAGTTAGGTTTTCTCGTTTTAAGTTACAAAGAGAGTAGAAGTATGTGGGCTGAAAATTTGTCGATAATACGACTTCCAATAACAGTTTGTACGAAGAAACCATAAGATATCATCACATGGATTCTCTTTCTCAAGAAGGTCGAAGATCTATTCAGTAGGAAGTTGACTTCAGCACCGTCTTTCTGAACTGTACATGAGCTCACCTGTACGAATCTTTTGGATATTGTTGGGTTTTGCGCAGCTTCATTACCTAGTTAAGTTTTTTTTTTTTTTTTTTTTTTTTTGGATGTGGGCCACATTCATGACGTCTCGTTGGGATTTCAGGTCGTGGTTATGGGAGAGCAGTTCCGCCACAAGGTTATGTTTGTCATCGTTGTGGCCAGCCAGGTAAATGACGATGCTTATAACCTGCCCCTAATTCTGTTCATTTACCGATGGACATCATATGTCTACATGTCACAACACATGATATCACCAAACTTATTTTGGCTTGAATGATGTGCTCGTCAGGTCATTTCATCCAACACTGTCCTACTAATGGTGATCCGACATACGATATCAGGAGAGTGAAACTCCCAGTGGGCATACCCAAGACTCGTTTGAAAGCCGATCAAGAGGGCTCCTATATTTTACCAGATGGCTCAGTCGCTGTGATGCAACCCGACGAGTAAGCGTAGGCAGCAGGAAGTTTGCTTTGTCTTGATACAATGATGGAATTTTTTATCTTGAATGCTGATTTGTAAGCTCTTAGTGCTCCCCTTTTGTAATGGAAGTGCTTGAAAATGTAGGTCTGTTTTTGCCAAAGAGGCCGATGCGTTGTTGTCTATTAGACCAACGTTTGCCGAGCCACCACCCGAGCTAAGGTGCCCCTTATGTCAGGCAATTTTCAAAGATGCAGTTATGATACCGTGCTGTCATTACAGTTTTTGTGATAAGTGTAAGTTTCCTCATTTATTATCTACTTGTTTTTGCGTCCACTGTATGCCGGATGAGAATCACATCGTTGATGCAGATCATTATGTTTTCAAACTTGTTAATTTTAGATAATGAAGTATTTTGCTCTAATCAACACTGTAATGACTGATTTACAGGTATAAGGCAGGAACTCATAGAGAAGGGGAAATGCCCCCAATGTGGATCTACAAGATTCAAGAATGATGATCTTCTTCCCAACATAGCTCTTCGTCAAGCTATAGACCGTTTTCTTGAAACACAAGGTCCTGCAACCAGTGCCGAGGAGCCTTTGAAACCAAATCAAGTATCTGGTATGACAGTGAAAGATGGACCATTTGTTGTGCTTGTTTTGTTTATGCAACGTATTGTGCCACATATTTCTATGTGCTCTCTCAGAATCGTTGTAAATGAAGCTCTGTTGGAGTTTTATTTACGTTATAGTAATAACATCATTCGTCACATTGTTTGCTGTTTTCTGACGGAGCCCGTCCGCTCACCAGATTTGGATTCTGCACTTGAAGTCAAGGTCCCATCACCAACCGTTTCTCGGTTGCAAATCGAGTTGCGAAAGCCTACCGTGAGCTTGACACCTCCAGCGAATGATGCTGTAGCACAGGAAACTGCTGGTGCAGTTGACTCAGCAAGTGGGAACGATGTTGCTGTTCCTGATGATGCAGACAAGAGTAGTCCTGCAAATACAGATGTTGTGATTCCAGCTGCTGAAGCCAAGCCGGCTTCGCCAGTTGTTGCTTCTGTTGAACCTCAGCCTCAGTGTAGTGAGGCTGTTGCAGTTCATACTAGCAAGGCAGATGAATCTCTGGCAGGTGTTGATACTGCCATTGTGAAGGATGTGTCGGGTTATGTCAAGAAAGGAGGCAAGCATCCTATAATTGATGATGGGGGTGGCATGGTCGTTAAGACATCTGAGCCCCCCTCCAATAAAGAGGCGGAAGTTGTAGCTGTGGAATCTGAGTTTAGCAAAGGTGTGTTCTATGCATCAAGAGTTGGAAAGGATGCTCATGTAGGTGTTCCTGCGGGACTCAAAAGCACAACTATCTGTAAGTTAGATGTAGATGGTATCTCAATTTTTGAGACATTATATCCTGTGAATTTCTTGTCTCCATATGCTGTTCAGCAGTGCAACTCCGCAGACCAGCTGACGTGCATACTTTTTTTGTGTAGGTTATGGATTAGACTTCTATACAGTGTCTCTATTTCATTTTCTTTTAGGTTATGTTTGGCCTTAGTTTGTTGGATTCCAGCTTCACCAGGAAGAAAGAAGAGAACACAAAATGCTTGGAGTTCTACTGTTCATTTTGAAGGTTGTCAGTGTAGCTTAATTGGCCTTCAGGTGCTACGCTTCCCTGAAGATTTTGTGATGAGGCGACCTGTACCAAAACATGTGTTTGTTTCCGTCGTGGATGTGCTTTCGCTTTGAGTGGCAGGATGGACACACCGCCTTACTGATTATCAAATCAGATCGTCCGAAACTAAATTCAGGTAGATAGATTGATTAACTAAACTCCCTGACAATGACATGGCTGGACTTTTCTCAGGCAAGAAAAAGAAAAAACGCACTCGTCTCATTCCCGGAGGTAAGGTTCTGTGATGAAGTTCTTGCCTTTAAACTTTATGCAGTCAGTTCTTTACTGTCAATGTATGTTGTGCCCATGGAGACTCTGTCTTAGTGGAATCTCAGCTTGTCACTTATCTAAAGTACGTGCTGGTGATTTACATGGCGTCTGACAGATGGAGCGGCAGACTACATGGGTGTTGGCAAAGGAAAAAGGGTGGGTATCTACTCTGCATTTCTGTATGGTGCTGTCGTGTAGATTGGAAGTCAACGTAGGCTGAAAGTGTTCTACTAAAGGCCTTGAACTGTTTTGAATCCGCTGAGAAGAATGTACTAGGAATCTTTGAATTTTTTTGGAACCGTTTTGATGAAGCCGTGAAGTCTATTTCTTCCTTGTAGATGCAGGCTGATCGATTTTGTTACATATGTGGTTCGCCCGAGCATTTGGCCCGTGACTGTTTGGAAAATCCAGACGCTGCTCATCCTGTACATCCAGGAATGTTTGGTCCAGGTGCGAAGTTCATCTTATGAGTATTCCACGTTTAGTTCATATCCTCGCTTCACTTATATATTTGTATATTTGTTGACGTCCTTTGCACTGAAAGGCGACGTTGAGCTCATCTTTACCCAAAGATCATGTATCTGTTGGTTTTGCAGGACCAGGCGTAATGCCCCCTTATCCAGATATGTTTTGGCATGGGCCGCCCATACCTCAACATGGACGTCCCTTTCCTATGGGATACGGAGAAGGCATGTATGGGCCAGGTCCTGGACCGATGTCCTTTGATGCTCCAATGATGCCCGGCGGACCATATAATGTTCCTCCTTACATGCGTGCGATGTATCCTAGTGGGCCCATGCGTGGGTAAGCTCTCAATATACAATATCAATTTTTTTGGGGCATTTTCCACATTGACGTTCTTCAAGAGTAATTTTAATAACAGTGAACTAAATTATTACCCTGATTGCCATATTTTAGCGGCTTCATGGGAGGTGGCATGCCGCCATCCATGGGTGCCATGGACAGACCTCTTAGTAGGGAAGAATTCATCGAACTCCAGGAACGAGAACGCCGACGCAGGATAATGCAAGACCAGATGCAAAGGTAAGTCAGTGCGAAGCCAATTATGGTTATCAGATTCGTAGTTTCTTGCAGATTCTCTTGTTGCTTTGGATATGGAGTTACTTGAAGGGAATCTCACTTTTGCACAATAAACCGAGGAATGGCGTAGTAGAGTAGGATATAATATCGAATAGTATTCATGTGTGCTGACTCTAACAAGTTACATATGCCCAATAACGTCCTGGAAGTCCAGAATTTTCTCTGACTTCCAGAGAAGCCACTCGAAACTTTACTTGTGATTCATGCCTGCCATAGCCAGAAGATCGTAGTCCACGAGCCCCAGCGTGTGCGGTGCTAATTTGAAGAGATTTTGATAGTAGAGAGTCGAGACGGAAGTAGTCGGTGAACGAGAGTTTTCAAAGCGAAGACGGTCATGGGAGTTTTCCACCATGTGAGATTACTACGAGTTTCTAGGAAGCAACCTAAACGACGCTGATAATTTATCTACCTGACATTTCTGGAAGCTCTTGCAGCCATGACCCCGAAGAACTTCACATCATATCCTGTTATGTTTGACCTAGCACTTAACCTACCTGTGCTATTGCCTCGACTAGGTTTGTTTACGGTTCCCGATATATAACACGCTAGTTCGTTCAACGCTTCACCGAATGCTGTTTTTTAATAATCCCCAGGAGTTCTTCTTACTTTGATCAAGACTTCTAAATTTGTTCCCATATTATTTCTTGCATTCAGTTCGGCATTCACGGAATGCTCCATCTTTTCTGCACCCCCTAACTTTACTGTCTAAGCTTGCCCATTATTGATTGCTGGGGTTCCTGTTGTGGGTTGTAACTAATTTGTGGAAGTATGGCTTTCCTGTGAAAGTTAGTCATGTCATGGTTCCTTTGTGAGGTTTCAGTGGTCGCCTCTGACTAGAATTGGGCATTTGGCTGGTGTAGGGAAAGGTCTCCAGATAGATCGTTTTCGAGGGACGGCATGCATCCGCAGACGCCAGAATCAGATCGAAGGAGATACGAGCACGGCGAAAGGCGGGGTTCTGCCGAAGAGCAACATCCTTTGACCCGTAAACGTGACTTGGACCGAGATTCTGTAAGAGACCTCTCAGATGACACTGACTTTTATAAGAACAAGAGTGAAAAGTATGAGCGTAAACCAATTTCATTAGTTGAGAGTAATATGTATCGGAGGCATGCTAGCGTCTCCGATGACGAACCTTCTTTTGACGAATTAAAGAGCCGAAGGGCTGTAGATAGGCGTCAACGAGAGGGAAAGGCAGTACTGGTCGGTACAAAGAGAGAGTCGAGGTATTATAGAGACAATGATATAGAAAGGTTAAGTTCTGATCCTGAACAGGACGCACTTCAACAAGCACATCCTGTGAGGCGACACGAAAAGGAACTAGATGTGTACTCTGTGAAGTGTAGCAGTAAGGGACAATCAAAACGGGGTGATGATGGTAAGAGCATGCATGTAAGTGCGAGTGGGGGGGACAGTCATTCTAGCCGCCATAAAAGCAAAAGGAATGCTCTAGTGGATGATAAATATGATGTAGAGTGCAGTCAAGAAAAAAGTTTTGCAAGGTCTGCCAAGCACGCTCGTTGTCGCTCTAGAAGTCCGGAGCACGACGGAAGATTCCATTTACGAGAGAACTCAGGGTCCGAAGTAGATGGTGGTGATGACGTTAGGGATGCAGAGAAACGCAGGAGGAGAAAACACCGTAGTCACTCCAAGGTCAAGGCAGAATTGGAATCTGCAGTTGTCAGTATATCAGAGGATGAGTCGAAGAAGAAAAAGAAGAAGCACAGAAAACACAGAGACGAAGGCAATGTCGTGAAGAGTAGGGAAGGTAGAGGTGATGGGGACGTCGACCGTCCTTCCAAGCATCGTAAACACAGGTCCAAAAGTGATTCGCATGGAGTTGCTTCCTCACCGCGTGATCTCGAAGACACGAGGTGGCAACTTGATTCTGGTTATGAAGGGGCTCTAACTGGTCACGCGCGTCGATCTAAGCACAACAAAACCCAGCGTCCGTTTCACGTGAAATTGAAGCATTGAAGGTAATTGACTGTGTGAGAAGTCTGCAGCATCGCATTTGAATACATTGTTTTCGTCCATGTCCAGGTTCGATTGGTGTGGATAGGAAGCCCGTACCTATTCGAAATAAAGTTGTGATATGGGCTGAAACGAACTAGGTATCGATTATGAGTTTGATCGATTCGAGTGGTATCAATTGTCGCTGTTCATAACCCTTAGTATCATCGCTCCGGCTTTTATCTCACTGTGGGCTCCTAAATGTTTACATTGTTTATCGAGCATCTATTTTTCTCCGCCGGAGAAGGTTATAAAATATTTTTTTCACATGTTACTGGTACTGTATTTAAGCGCACACATCTTGAAAAAGTCACAGCTTTTTGTTGAGCTCCGTGTCCGTGCATTGAAACGATGATATTTGTTTGTTGAGGGAAAATGCGATTTGAATCTTGCTTCTTCAAAGCTTCTCTCATGTGTGAAGGCCGAATTTCACTCCAGGACGAAGCCTTCCTATCTCAGGTTTTCGACCTTTTGTAGTTCAAATTTGGGATAGTTTGTTCAGACGCAGTGTGAAGCAAAATTCTTGCCGAATTGTGTCAACGGCCGAGGAAAACCCCAATCCGAGAAACTGAACTTTCTCCTTCTGGGCCTCATCTCACAAAGAAAGTTACTCCAGAATAGAATGAATCCTGCGAAAGGGCGACGAAAGTGAAGAAATATCGTGCCCGGATATGGTCGGACTGAAGGGAACGGGTTATTGCAGGAAGGGCAGATGATACTTGTCGTGGAGTGGTGAAATCGGCTCGGACATGTGGAACAAAGCTTGGGAATCTCGAGGATGTGCTTCCCAGATCTAGCGGTGGAATCGAGAATCGTCCTGTACGCGCTGCCTCGGGCTACGTGGGGGAGTACGTGGACGGATGTGCAAGATTGTAGAGCTCCGAGGTCGAGTGGTCGCATACAGGGGCGAAGGTGAGAGTTCCGATTTTCTGTGAACTGGTAACAGATCCAGTAACGGTAGATGAGAGAGGCGCACTCACTGTGGAGATGAGAAGATGGGGTTCGGTTGGGGTGGGGGTCAGATTCGTGTGCGAGCGAAAAGAAAGCCACTCAAGTTTCGTCCTGTACCGGGGTCTCGTGCGTGCATGGACAACGCCTTCCGGTCGTTTCGAAACATCTGGCGAGCTTTGCTGCAGGCTTCGAGGCCCTCCCTACCTCCCTCCCTCCATGCATGATTGGATAGTGTACCATAACCCTCATGCATGCAGAGCATATTAAATGCCCAGCTCAGGGCTCAGATCGTCCTCCTGCTCCGTGACATTCTCCCGTGGAAGGAAGGAAGCCCAGGACATCGGCGAGCGACCACCGATCACAGCACGCCATGTACCCGAGGAGGAGGAGGTTCAGCATTCTCGCAGATGTGACGTCCACACGTGAGGCGTTCACCAACACGCCACTCGCTCCGGTGACGTCGAGTTTCTTCGAGAACAATGTCCTGCAATGCCGCCCCATCCGTCTACCGTTAGTTGTCAGCACCCTTCGGAACAGTGTACAGACTGCAAAGCTCGCCTTGCAGCCCATCTTCCAGACAAGCCTCCTCGAGGCCTCGAGGCCGCCTCCCCAGCAGCAGCAGCAGCCGTAAGTATACTCGAGAGCACCTGTGTATTCGGTACCGGATCGACCGATCTCGCTATACTACCGTGGAAGTAAATTCTCGAGGTGAAAAGGTTCAGACACGCAAGAGCCACCAAATGTCGGGATCGATTGAGCAGATTAATGACCCCCGCCAAGTCAGAGCTCCTCCTCGGCATCATACCCTGATTTCCAGCAGCAGCAGCAGCAGAGAATAAGGATCCGCAGCACATTTTCGCTCATTCGCCGGCCGATGCCGCAGCATAGAGTCACATGGCTGGCTCGCTCGACGAGCGAATACCATCGCAGAGGCGTAATAGCAGCAGCGCTACGAGCCAAAGAGCACTCGTCCCTGTCAGAACGTCGACCGAGCCAGCCAGCCCGGCCCAGACCAGACCAGCAGCAGCCTAGCTGAGCTGAGCTGAGGCAAATCGACGAGAGGTTGAGTTTTACCGTGAGAGTAGAAGACAAGAATCCTGCCACCGCGCGGGGATCGACGCTCTGTTCCGATCCCGAATCGGAGAATCTCATACCTTCCATCAAGTGTGGCAGACGAAACGCCCGTGCCCGCATACCCGTCTTGTCACGGAACCATGCAGCAGCAGCAGAGGCAGCAAAACCGCCAGCACCACGACGATGTGACGCGATGTGCACCACAATGCAAACAAGAGGAACCAGAGAGGGGGGGCTGCGCTATGGGCCCTCATTTCTCCCTCCTCACCGGACAGCCTCGGCCCGGCCCACCCAACTCTGATCTTCTAGGCGCTGGCAGGACAGTGAAGAGCTCGGTGTTGCTGCTGTTGTTTTCGCCTCTGCAATTCTTCAGAAGACGCCCCCACAATCTTGTCACTTCCCTGGTCTCCCGATCGTCCATCACCACTCCACTACGAAAGGACCTACTCCTCATCGCTGCTCCAGCCCTCAAGCTCTAATCGTCGTCTACCGAGAGTGGTGCGCTTGTTAGTTAGGCCCGGACGGATTGTGTATAGCCCGCGTGTATGCATGCGCAGGACCCTGTCCCTTGCATAATCGCAGCGAGCTCCTACATTTTCGTACAGTACAGCCGCGCGAATAGGCGGGTCGAGGCTTGAGAATAATCCAATCCATACGAGGAACTGGACCCTGCGGATTTTGCGCAGGCTCGCAAGTACAGCAGCACAGGTGGGGAAAGCTGCCGGGGCGAGTGAGATGTGGTCGCATAAATTTCGGGGTTTGGTCATCGAATCCCAGCAGCTCGACATGCACTTTCCGAATGCGAGCCTGCCAATGCCGAGAGCAGGACGAAGAGCAGACAAAGTCGTTGCTGGAGCTGCCACGTTTTTCAGTTGCCCTCGGACCTCGGTTCCAGGTCTGGGTTGGCGTCGCAGGATCATCGGCAAATGCACACACACACAACGAACAGAGAGCTCGCAAAAGTGTCTGGAATCTGTCAGCTCCCATGCTCTCGCGAAACTGGGAGACGGGCATGAGTCGAAGACCGAAACTTGATTCTCGTCGACATTGAAAGCTTCTCCGGAATCCCGAGCCCTGACCTGCTCATGATGATGATCATCATCATCATCACCAGTCCACCAGACTACCACCAGACTACCACGTGTTCCTCTCGGACAGCATGGATAGATTCGTCCGAATCCAGCTGCTGACGGCTCCAACACACCAGCTTTTCCACCAGCCCGAGCACTCTGGTGCATTGATTGGCGCTTGTTCGCGCATGCCATACGGCACCTACCTCCTCTCGCCTCTCGCCCCCAACCTTGTTCGTGTGTGACTGCATAATTGTGCATGCTGAAAATCGCCGCTCTGTTGCAGATCTCTGCGCCAAGTTACGGCATGCCCCTTCTTTTGACTGTTCCAGCCCTTTCCGTACACGAAAAGAAAACCATGCGACGATACCATGGGGTTTTCATGAGAAACATTGGTACATGTTTTCTCATTTCATCTCATTTAGGGGATTTATGTAGATGCGCAATCTAGCGGCCAAGTTCTCAATAAGTCTCATTTACAATGGTATATGTTTATTCATTTCATATGAAACATGAGATTTATCTAGCTCCACAAACGGGTGGACATGTTTTCTCACTTCATATGAAAACATTGATTTATCTAAATCTACCAACTGATGGTCAAGTTCTCATTAAAACTTTTGACTGGAACAATCCCAACCGTACGTAATCTAGGCTAACGGTTGAAGGATAACGTCATTGTGTCACCGTCATCAAAGAGTTTCACCTTTATTTGGAATCTCGTGTTTCGCGCCCTTGATGAGATTGTTCGTACTTTATCTGAAGCTTTTTTTTGATATTGATCTGGATGTGGTTTCTAGATGACGAAGTTCTTGAGCAGACTGGTAATTATTCATAGAAGCAAATGAAAGAAAGGTTTGACGTTTAATTCATTCAAAACATCGATAAGAGATCTCAGCTTCATGATTGCGTATCGCGATCCAAGTTTCAACATTAATTGAATATATTCAATGGTCATCTCTATTTCTCCACACCATTTCATCCAAGAATCTATCGATACATTTTCACTCGGAAATATGATCAGAGCTTCAATCAAGGTAGAGTTGATCACTAGTTTATCAATTTAACTAGCCCGATAGGTGGATCAATTTTTCAAACCTTCGATACGTCTGAAATCTAGTTCAGAAAATGAAAAATCTAACATTAATAGATTATGTCCAACGGAGATACAGATATAATGATATTATATTGAGAACACATTCTGGATATTTGTCTTGACATATGAAGCTTGAGCAATTTTGTTTTTTGTGATAAGATGTTTTCTAAAGAGGCTATGTAACTTTTGAACCAATGATCTCGACCCATGCACAGGAATGGATAAGTTTTGGACATACTGACCTAAAAGATTTAAGACTGTCATATAAAGTGAAGACAATGTTTTGCAATTTTGTGAGATTGAAATGATGTACATAGTTTAACTTTACATTCAACTACAAATGCAAGGCAATATTCAATCTCTGTAATGTATTTAGAAACAATGATATGAAAACATCGAATGCGAATTAGATTTTATTTATTTTTTATCAGAGAAATGAACATATTAACAGTTGTGGTGTCAAGTCTACAATTTGAGATATTTTTCACTACTTTTTTGTCCAAAATGTACGACTTGATGTATGTACGTTGCATTCAACTTTGCCGAATTTGTATGTTGAATAATTCAAATTAATCAGATTATTTCATTATTGTATTCTAAGATTCTTATGCATCGGTTTTTGATATAAAAAAATTTAGTTTTTTTAATAGAGATTGAATTTGTAGTAAATTTTTTTTGAAAAGATAGATGATTATAGATGATTTTTTCTCTTGTCAATAAAATGTGAGCTTCATTTAATTTAATTTTTTTGTAGGTTATATATATGCAATGGATGTTAAAAATTTTGTTCAATCATTTACTTCAGACATATTCCATGTAAATGATTTGTAATGGATTTGGAAAATACGTTGTGTTTTCTTATGGAGATAGTTCGTATTTCAAATGAGAGGTTAAATGATTTTGTAGCAGATGAAATCAGTAAGAATAAAGTTTTGAAACAATCTTTTGAAAAGAAAAATAAATATCAAACCATATCATAAGATTGATTGGATTAACGCTGTAAATTATTGATGTGTTTTTGAAACTTTTAATTATACTTCTCGGATTTCAAACACAAAACCCAGGAAAGTCATC